CTTGCAAGTCTATTGTCTGAAACACTAGATACTAGAAACCTATGCAGATGATAGGTACGAAAGCATGGATTAAACTTCAGAAATATTTGGAACTGACCTGTGCTTCTTTTCTCTTGTTCTGTTCCACTTCATAAAAACGTCAGGTGGTTTTGCTGTTTTAAATAGGGTTAGCTCGTTTGGAGCATTTCTCCTTCAATTTGCGTGAGGTGAGAGAAATGGGAGAACTACCTGATAGGTTGCTTAATGTTCTTGGTCTTCCTTTTGGGTTTCCTGGAAGCAACTTTGCTGAAGACAAAAGCTCTTTCTTTTGTTGTTTTGTTTTGTTAAGTTAAATGCCTCATCTTCTGCCTTCGGGACCTGTCTTCTTTCTGAGCCTAAAATAGCTGCCACATCATTTCTGTCCCTACTATGGAATCCGGGCGATCACAATCTCCGAGCTGCAGAATTTAGACACTTAGTTGATAGCTTCAACTTTCCCATAGCTGAAGGAGGGTGAATGGGAATCTGATATTTCTGCACATGCTCAGTGGCACACACTCACACCCACACCACCCCGTTCCTGCAAAAGTTCAGGGCTCCGTCCGGTCCTGACTGCAATGTTGCTCTTGGCCTTTATGGCCTGGGAGAGACAAAGCAAAGGTTTAGGAGGGGAACCAGAAGAAAATGGAGTTGACTTCTCTCATTGGCTCGGTTCTTCTGTTTTGTTTTTATAGAAGAGGACTACGATGAAGAGGCTCAGTTAGGAGACTACGAATTAGAGGAAGAGGAGGATGTGAGTGGAGAAGAGGAAGATGTGAGTGGAGAAGAGGAGGTAAGACTGTAGTACTTGGGGGAGAGAATCAGACCAGCTGCAGGCATCTTGCTTTGGAATGAGGGGTGTTGCGATCTGTGATCAGCCGGAGCAGATAATGGCCTCATGCCGAATATGGTTACGGCAATTCCTCTTCCAAAGCGAACTAATTTTTTCCAATTTAGACAAGTTCCAGATGCAATAAAACACTTTTGCCTTTTTTTCTCTGGCAGGAGGATGAAGAGGGTTATAATGATGGTGAAGTAGATGATGAAGAAGAGGAGGAAGAAGCAGCAGTTGGTATGTGCAAAACAAACCTTGAGAAAACCTCTGCCCTCTTTTAAAGGCTAAACCATTGGGACAGTAGAGCAGATCTGAGGGATTGACTGAGATGCTGTGTGAGGTTAAGCTCTTCGCCCCGAAGCCGCTTCAAGCCCTCCTGCGGCCAGAGAGCTTCCGGGGTGTCCCTGGGCTTGCCTCTCCCCATCAGCCAGCCGCCACTCCTTCAGAAGGAAGCTATTTGGGGGAAAGTTATGAGACGCTTCCAGTGTTCCTGCCTTGAGCTCTTCAGAGGAAAAGGGAGAGATGAAGGAGGAAGGCCTGGAGCTTCTTTTTGGTGCGATTGAAAATTTCTTCGGGGCAAAGTTAGTTTATTTGTTGACTGGAGGGCTTATAGAGTGGCCTGCAACTCTTCAATATGTAGTTGGAATTAAACAGACACCAACCAGCTAATTTTAAATTAAAAGCATGAAAAATAGTCCCTAAGGGTATTAAAGAGTTCTGGGTTAATATTTTTATTTTATTCCTCTTCTTTGCACATATTTTATATGGGAAAACGGTGCACGGCTTTTAACAGTACTTAGCTTACCAGTTTCAGCAGCTGGGTGCAGCCTGTATTGTGAAGGTGCAGAGTAGAACTTTCCTTCCTCTGGAAGTGGGGCTGAATTCGGCTGGCGGGGGAAGCTGCTTTCCCCCATAGCTGCCCTGGCCTTTGCTCAGCTGGAAATTGCGCTTAAACCTAAGTGGGTTGCTTTGCAGCAATAGTTTGGGGCTGCATGGGGAAGGCAGTTTGTGGGGCAGAGATGTTCCTCATTCTGACCCTGCAACCCTTTGCTTTGACAGAAGAAGCCCGGGGGGAGAAGAGAAAACGAGAGGCTGATGATGAAGGCGAGGAGGAAGATTAAATGCAACGCAACCTGTTCTGGGGAAAAATAAGTTTCCTATTGTGATTTGACTGTTTATTCCCTGTATTTTCACCCCTTCTCACCCCCTCCCTGGAATGTAATGTTGCTGTGAGATCAAGAAGGAAATGTTTAATTTTATGGGCAAGGGAATTAAAATAACATTTTTTTAAAAAAAACTGCCACTCAAGACTGCTACATTTTGTTTCTGTAAAAAAATATTTTATCTGTTATTCCTGTTTATGCAGGAGCAAACAACGCAAGAGATAAGTTTGTTTTTCTTGGAGTGGCTCATCCTGGACTCTGGATTTTTTATTTTATTTTAAAAGCTTTTTAGAAATAAATATGAGCTGGAGGATTCCCACAATGATTCCAATTGATGGCTGGAACAGGGAGGGCGGAGGGATCATTTGGGCCTGAAGACTCCGTGGCTTCTTCCCCCCGCACCCTTTTGGCCAGTTTATGAGGACATTGTAAGCCTTTCTTTCTTCTCTCCCGGATTCAGCAAAATTGGCCCGTGGGAGCCTTCCAGCCGCCAGCACCATAGGGAGCAGCAGCAGCAGCATCTTGATAACCGCGTGTTTTCTTGTTACCTGTTTTGTGAATGGCTGCCGTTCCCAGAAACCCCTTTTCTTCCACTTCCTATCGGTAACATTTACTTGGCTGTTTGTAAATAGTGACCAACTATGTAATTTCTCTCTCTCCTTTTTATTTGGTTTGTGGGGGTGACTTTGCAAATTTTTATTTAAAAAAAATCTTGTAGAGCATGGCTGGGCAAGCTCTCGGGATGGGAACTGCTCAAGAATGCAGCAGGATCCTTGTTCAGCTCCCATTCCCGGTTGGTTCTTTTCTGACTCTTGGGATCTAGAGCAGTTCTCTGTAAACGGCAGTCATGAAAATATCTATAAATATATATAAAAAGTGTTCCTAATTTCCTGAGTTAACTGGTGAATTGCATTTGACAGTTGTAATAAAAAAAGAAAATGTTTGAACCCTTTTAACTAAAGTGTGTACTATTTTGGTCTGTAAAATACTATATATAAAAGTATATTAACAACGCCTTGATATTAGGTGATTAGAATCTGTTTCCACATGTGCTCTACAGCAGTGGTCTCCAACCTTTGGCAACTTTAAGACTTGTGGACTTCAACTCCCAGAGTTCCTCAGCCAGCAAAGCTGGCTGAGGAACTCTGGGAGTTGAAGTCCACAAGTCTTAAAGTTGCCAAGGTTGGTGACCACTGCTCTACAGTACTCTGAAGATTTTTGCAAAGCTTTTAATTGCCAGAGGAGACAGTACTGGACGCCCAGGCCAGCCGGGTCTCTTTTCATACACGAGCATGGATTGCGGATAGAAAAGTTGTATTTTCTTAAAAAGTCAGTAAATCGACTGCAAAGTACCTAGTTGAATGTACAGATTTAATTTCCTGTCCCTCTTCAATTAGAGCCTTAGAAGTGGGCTTGTGTTTCCTCGCCACTCTCTCATCTGTATATAAACAAGCACGACCATTGCAACCTTCCCTCTCGCTCCCCAAAGAGCCAGACTTTTTGAGTTTTATGTCTTTGTTAATTATGAATTTCAATAAATCTTTTTATACCATTTTTTTTCCTGTGGCTTATTGCAGTAAATGGGCCACGTGGGAATTTGCTGCTTGATTTTAAAGTTTTTTTTTTAAAGAACAAACTTGTAATTATTTTAAGAAACTTTAGAAAAAATGAAAATGAATTTGTCACAATGGCTCAGTCCACCAATGCGAAACACTTTCGTGTAAGAGAAGACGGGGCCTAGTCGTGTGGCTCTACTGCCGATGTCTCGTTTCCAGGCTTCCGCAAGAGTCTGCTGCACTCCTGGAAGAATGGGAGCCACCATGATGGTAGAAACTACTTTCCCAGGAACAGAACACTCCAGAACACCCCCCAATGTTCTCTTTCTCCTGGGGGCCACAGTGACCTGGCCACCCTAGGGGAGAAATGGGAACAACTCAAGAGTTCTCTGGAAAGAGCAGATGTGCATATCTCTTATGAGGTATCTGGTAGATCTGTTTTTTTGTGTCAGGTTAATGAGAAGGGGTTTTCCAACCAAGCCCTGTAGCCTGGTTGGTTTTCCATCTCCATTAGATCCTACGGGAAGATCCTCTTCTAGCTGGGAACTTCCCTCCACAGAGACTTCTTTCCCTTAAGGAAACCATCATGGTTTATCTACTCACAAAGTAGGTGGGAAGAATTCTAGAGGCTAAATGTGCCCAGCTTTTACTATCCTCCAAGCTCTGTTAAGAAGACTTTCTCAAAGAAATCCTGGCTTTGTTTCAGAGTTTGTACCCTGATTCTCTCTGCTCTGCCTGCCCACCTTCTGAAGGCATCCTCAATCCACCCTGAAGGCAAGGAGACATCACAACGGGCTGGTTTGCTATTTGGGTAGCTTTATTTTGTCGCTACTGTAGGGCAGCATAAATAATAAGCAGATGGGGACACTGAAGTGGCACAGTGGGAAACCAGTGCTAGGCGCAGAATACAATGTGGACATGGGCGGCAGGCGTGCAGAGAGAAAAAGGAGCCCAGTTGCCTGGCTGTCCTTGTGAATTAAAGGTGTGGTGAAAGGTAGATCCCAAAGAAATCTTTGGTGCACAAAGTGGAATCTCTGGCAACCTGGCTCTGGTTTTCAAGGAAAGTGATTGTCTACATACTGGGGTGGGAAATGTGAAACTACAGGACTAGAAGCCCTGAGAAGTTGAAGCCCAAAGGTCAGCTTTTTCCTGCCCTTCATGGACAAAACTGATCCTGCCAGATCTTTACTCTTCTGTATAGAGTAAAAGCTTGTCACAACATTCCCCACATCTGAATGGGATGATTCCCAAACCATAGTTGAGAGAGCGCAGAACTGGTATAGCTTCAATATTTTGAACGCGTCCCTTTAAATCTTTTGAATGGGCCAACCACTTGGCTAGTTCCAAGCCAGCGAGATTTGGATGGAAGCCAGGATGATCACTAATGCCTCTAAGTGTGTTGGCTGGCCCAGGGGCAACACTCTGTACTCCTGCTTCCAAAAGTACCAAATTTTGGTTAACTCTTAGGCATTTACCAAGCCTCTCTTAACCCTTTCAGCAGGTGTCCTGGCTACATTCTGCTTCTTGTGGGATGGATGCCAGCCGGTGTGGTTAGTGGGTCCAGTGGTAGCCTCTCGATGCAGACTTCTCTAGGTACAGTAAAACCTCGGGTCACGAACGCTTCTGACCACGACCAAATCGGGTGCTGACCAAAAATTTTGCAAATTTTTTGCATCTGGTCATGAACAAATACTTGGGTGGCGATCAAACACAGCCACAGTGATTTTCCCTTCCGCACCATTTTTTTGTATGCGCATATGCAGTCAGTCTTGCTTCCGGTCACGACCAAATCAGGTTGCAACCGAAGTCCTGGAACAGATTACGATCATGACCGAAAGTTCCACTGTAGTGTGCAAATAACTCCCCATTACAAAATGTCTCATTCAGGGACACAAGGCTCTTCTAGAATTCTACATACAACATTCTAGGTGCCTGACTTCTTCAATGGGCACTGAAACTCAATTGCCATTGCAATTTGATCAAGATTCCACAAAGAGAATGACCACTTTCTTATTTATGAGAAGAGGGTGTGGCTCTGGAAGGAGAGAAGAGAAATGCTAGAAGAGCCGGTAGCAAAGATTGCAGTCGCAACACTTCTTTTCTGCAAAGGCAGCCAACCATCCCCTTTCCTATTTTGGAGAACAAAGTAGGAAATTAAATAGGAAGCCCTTCTCCAGCTGAAAGTCTTCAGGAGGCATTGGCCAGGCTGTACAGGCTAGGAATTCTGGGGACTCATCGGGGGAATGCTGGGCTGTACTTATTCGCTTGGCAGGCACTTCTGCCTGACCCTCTTGCAAAATTTACCTTCCAAATGCACTGTCCTTGAAAGTGTACCTGCCCAGTCCTAGGAACAGGGATTAAGAAAGCAGGGTGATGCAGAATAATTTTGTGAGGGCAGAAGGGTAGAACATAGCCTGTTCTTTGCCCCCAAGAAGGGCTAAGCAGATCTGGTCAGCAAAATTCTGGGGGAGACTAGATGGCAGCTCAGGGGTACAAAACCCTGAACTGGTGCTGTCATCTTGCGGCATCTGCATTTTTGCAGCCCAGGTAAGGCAGCCAGGAGTAGCCCCATCAGGTTGAGCTGCCACTTTGCCCGGCATCTGCGCAGAATTTCTCTTTATCTCGGGAAGCAAAACAAGCAGGGCCAGCCTTGAAGACAACTCCTCCTTTAGGATTAATGATTCCTAGAGTGGGAGACTCAAGAACCAACCAGTCGTGAGCAAGGAAGGCATTTGTTAAATTGCATGCATGGCATGAAGGCAGAGACAGAACGGGCTCAGCCATCATGGGATCAGCAGCTGGCATACTCTGAAATCTAAAATGGGGGTGATCTCCCCAAATGCTAGGATGGAGGAGCCCCACCTACTTACCAGCCCTTCTGCAGGATGCTGCCTACTAGAACTCTTTAATAATCTTGTTTGTTTTTCAGGTTTTATCCTGAGATTATTTTTATAAACAACTGAAGGCAGCGAATACACCCAATACCCCTCTCTCCTCCTCCTCCTCCTTTCCCCATAACAACCCCATGAAGTAGATCAAGCTAAGAGAGAGATTGGCCCAAAGTCACCCAGCTTTCTCTCATGCCCAAGATAGGACTAGAACTCAGGAACTCTGGTTTCTAGCCTGGTACCTTGGGTTGAACATTTCCTGCCCACCCACCCTTTTTTTTTGTTCAGAGACTGCCTTTGGTAGCACGCAAAATGTTCAGCTCCAGCAGCTTTCTGGGCAGTGAAGCCAAGATGGCAGTGACAGTGCAGTCAATGCAAAGCTCTCCTAATGCATCCCGGCCACTATATTGATTTTGAAATCCACACACACCAACCTCCATGAGTGCCCCTGTCCGATACTAAAGGCTGGCACTTGGTTGTGCAGGTAGCTTGCCAACTCTCTGTCCTAAAAAGGTGGGGATTGGGTTCTCTTGGGTTAATAATTAGGATGGGCTGGCAGTTTTGTAAGTGCCATGAAAGCTATCAGGGCCTCACACCTCATAATTAGATCATTCACTCAATGAGCATATCTGCCCTTGGAGTGGGGGTGGGGGGGCAATGGCAATCCATCTGCCTGGCTGTGCTTCCATAAGGATGACCAGTCCCTTTCCCTGCCACAAACTGACTGTTTGCCAACTGCTCCATTAGCTGCTGAAGAACCTGAGCTATGAATCTGTTTGAAAACTGTCAGGATGGGAATCCAGTTGAACATTGGGTGGGCCTGGCGCTCTTCAGGATTCTGCCTTGCTAGCAAATACATCTATGCAGCTACAAATATATATGCAGCTCTACCGTCCACTACTTGTACCAAAAAGAATAAAACACACCCTTAACTCATACGCTGCTTATGGGTAGTACATTAAAAGTGCTTAATTTTCGCTGGGTTATCTGCTCCTCACTTGAAACCCCCATTTGGATCTTTCCTTTTGACTCTCTTGATCAAGTATGTGTTGCCTTTCTATTTTGAATTGTTTTCCCTCAAAGGCTTCATCTACCTGTTTCCTTTGGCCAAGTTTATCTTCAGGACTCTTGTAGCTGTGAGAGTGTGTGAATGAGTGCGTGTGTGTATGTGTACATGGGTACATTCACAATCACTCTTGAAGAGACCAATTAGAGATGCAACCTGTGTGTATTCATCACCCAGTGCCCACTGGGTATATTTCAACAGAATAAATTGTAGCTACCACCCCAAGAGTGATGCCCAAGCAAAGCAGGCGCCAGACAGGCAGGGTGAGCCCTGGAGAGGGTTCAATAATGCCAAAGCCCACACTGGCTGCCGGGTTCAAGGAATGCTCAGGTCGCAAGGATGGTTCCCAAGAGAAGGGAAACGTTTTCCTTCCAGATTTCTTTCCAGTGTCGTGAGTTTGCCTTCCAATTGCACGCTTGCTGTTTATCGACAGCCTCGGGAGAGGAAAGGTAAGTAATAATGAATTCAGTTGCTTTTGTTTGGGCTTACAGTGTTCTCCTTTTTCAGCCCTGGAATAATCAGGGATGAAAATTGATTCTGCAATTTTGCACGAATGACAAAGAGCAGTAGGCTTCTACTTACTTCAAGAGAAATTTGGATAACATACGTCCCTTGTTCTTTTCATGCAGAAGTTCTCAAGTTAAACCGTACAAATAACTTTTTAGTGCTAGGCAATGACCACAGAAGGAGGAGAGGCTTCCAGTTAGCAGGTGTACCCGTGTGCTGCCACAGGGTCTCTGGCTCATATCACGTGTTAAGTCGAGACAGTAAAATTAAAGAGTGGGTATAAACAAAGAGTTTCTTTAGAAAAAAAAATCCCTTCAGAGCCCATTGTTTTGGGGGCTATTGCGCAAGTTTTTCAACTCCAACTGTAGCTGTCGGATTTTGATGTCTTTCTGCGAAAGCTCAACCTTCAGTCGACGGATCTCGTCTTGTTGGCGGAAGAACATTCGGAGGAGCTTCGTGGAAGACAAGAAACAGAGAAGGATCAACAGACTGAAGAGGTTGGAACAACTGCAGCGAATGTGCTGCAGGATCTGAGATGATCCCCCTTTGGATCCAAGGGTTTGGATCGCCTTTTCCGGGGGAACCTGAGAAACTTCACTTTGCGTGGACAGGGATGGAACTCGGGGCTGTCTTTAAGGTATGGGCCTGATGGGCACTTACCCGTGGGCCCCACAAGCATAGGGGCCCCATACTACTCTGTGTATGTTAACCCTTCAGTGCACCTTTCATCCTATAAATACAGCAACTGTATGACTTACTGAGTATGATTGTGTCATACATCACCAATTTTGTTGGAAGTGCCAATAAAATAAATATGTTTAATTTCATCAACTGTTTACATTTTTTGAGTAATTGTCGTAGGGGCCCCAGTACACTGCTTTGCCCAGGGCCTTTAACGCTGTTAAGAGGGCCTTGATGCTGGGGACACACCTACAGGCACCCTGCATTCCCAGAACTGCTGGGTGGACTTCCTCCATTTTATGGGATGGAGAAATTGGCAATAATTTCCTTTTCCAGATTGGAAAGAACGCAGCTGCTCTTTCTTACCTCATTCTCTGTTCTGGGTGGCACATTTTCCAAGAGATCTATCCCATTGACAACAACACTTTTCTTCTCTTTTATTGGTGGTTTAAAAACTACTTTGGATTCTTTCTTATAGCCTTCCTTTAAAGACATCAATATGGGATCTGAAAAACAATAGAAAACCCACATCTCAGGACAGGCACCAGTAGAAAAATTAAAAAGATACTGTAGCTACCAGAGCTGCCAATCTTATGACTTCTCATTTTTGCCAGCAGCAGCATCCCGTAAAATTGATTTTGGGGGGGGGGGGGACTTCTATTTTCAAAATTATTTTATGAATGCATGTCATGACTCCTGGAATATCACAACCTGTAGATCCAATTCTCTGTAGCAACTACTCCCACCATTCCCCATAATTTTGAAGCTGACATGGGTGCTATATTATCTAGTCAAACCCCTTATTCTTAGCCCCTCCTGTTATTGGGATCATTGTTGCTTAGTGATGCAGGCATTCTCAGTTGCCCAGAATGACGAGGAGTTTGACATCTGCCCCTCCCCCCAAACTGAGATTTCTAGGCAATATTCTCAGACTAGCAGATTGTGCTGGGGAAGATGCTGAGTTGACTGGCATAAACTCTGCTTCTTGTCCTGCCTTCTGATGCTTTGGAGAATAGGCTGACTCCCCTTCTCTGTGACAGCCACTCATAGACTGGAAGATTGTTATCGTGTTACCCCTAGTCCTTCTCTTTATTAGAATCAGAAGCAGGATAGAGCTGGAAGGGACCTTGGAGGTCTTCTAGTCGAGCCCCGTCAAAGCAGGAGACTCTATACCATTTCAGATAAATGACTGTGTATTCTCTTTTTAAAAGCCTCCAGTGATGGTGCACCAATTTTGAAGGCATTTTTTTCCACTGCATAATTGTTTTGTCAGGAAATTTCTCCTTGCTTCCAGGTTGCTTCTCTCTTTGATTAGTTTCCACCCGCTGTTTCTTGTCCTGTCTTCAAATGCTTTGGAGAATAGGTTGACCCCCACCTCTCTTCTTTGTAGCAGCCACTCAAACATTGAAATGCTGCTATCCTGTCACCCCTAGCCCTCCTTTTCATAGACAAACCCAATCCCTGCAACTGTTCATCGCAAGTTTTGGCCTCCATCTCCCTAATCCTTTCTTGCTTTTCTCTGCACTCTTTCCAGAGTCTCATCATCTTTTTTCTATCGTGGTGAGTAAGACTGAATGCTGCATTCCTTTAAGTCCGCCAGGCTTAAAGTTGCCAATAAATTACTAGTGGTTCATCCCCAGATTTTCTTAGCCAGCTGTATCTTTCTCAGGAGCCTTCTATGACGTTGTGGCATGCATTCTAGCCCTTTGTGCAGTCCTGTGATGTTGCTTTGCCCTTAGGAAGGAGATGGACAGTGCAACATCACTGCCATTTGTCTGCTCCCCTGGCTTGGATCCCTTTGTTCCTCTCTGGGACAGATGCCAATTTGCTTTAGCCCCATGGTCTGATCCAAGGGAATAAAGCTTCAACAGGCTCTCACATCCAAGCCTCTCAAGTACCTCCACTTTTGAGCCACTGTTTGTGGTGTACACAGCAGAATCACTGAGCTATAACCCTGCTTTTTTCTCACTCATGGAAGTTCAACACCACAAAATGAAATGATATGATCAGGAAGGGCCTTATCAACCTTCCCAGGATTTTTTTTTTTTTAAAGCAACCCATCCAAATAGAAACTTTAGTAAAATAATAGCTGAGCGTGGTGAAAAGTGGTGTCCTTTTCAGGATGTTGGGTTCTTCTGTGGAGAGGACACCATTCTAGAACGTGGGCCCCATTGCAGAAAAGATCTGCCTGAGTGTCACTGACATATTTTCAGCAAAAATTGAAGGGAGGGAGGGGGAAGCATTGCAATAGCCATAGACTCAGACTCATAGGGCTGGCAGGGGCCTTGGAGGCCTTTTGCAACCTCACACCATCCCAGCAAGTGGTTGCCCAGCCTTTTCTTGGAAATCTCCAAGCTCTTCAATTGGTTCAATTAATTGTTCTCACTTTCAGGAATTTTCTCCTATTCTTCAGCTCTTATTTTGAACAGGTATTGACATAGTACATTAGAAGTTTTATATAGGGATATCAGTGCATTTTTAAATTCTTTCCTTGATGTCAAACATTTGACAAATCTGGAACTATTTTTTTAGTGCAGGATCTTTCCAAAGCCCTGGCCATCCATGCAAGGTGGGTCAGCTCAGGTTATGCGTGATGAGGCAAAGGCCAGAAGGTCTCCTGGAGGTGCCAACATGCTCACCCCTATTCATTCCACTCAGCCATTCGTCTGGGGTGAGGGCAGGTTCTGGACCCGGAGTCATTGGGTAGATATCTTCCTGGTAGGTTTCAGACTAAATCAGAAAGAAGAGGAAGAGATTGTCTGAAACCCTGAGCTGGATCCCATTTACCAGGTTAAACCCCAGTGAGGATTACTAACCCCCAAAGGATTGGCCATGCCTCCTACAGTGGCCATCCCATCCCAAGAGGAACAAGCTAGAGACATTTCATTGTAGTGGGTAGGTTTGATCCTCCCCCCCGCCCCCCGGACAGACATTTGGGAAGACGTGTGCATTCAAATATTTTCAAGCCTAGCAGAAATTTGACTCTCATTAGAAAGATTAAATCCAGTGCCTGGAAATACATTTTCAGAATTGGACTAAGCTGCTTTTCTCCTGGGCAAGTCTAACTCCCTAGGTCTTTTCTGATACACAAACAGCTGGAACTTCTGAGTGTTTCCTTAACTCAAGTGCACATGCTAGAGAAAGGACACACCAGAGAGGTAAGCAAGCAACCTTCAAGGACCCTGGCTTCCAAGCAGAGCCCAGGTACCTTAAAGGAGGCCTCGTCCTGTTCTATTATGAGCAATACACTATTATTCTATTCTATTATGAACAGCATTCTATTACAATTAGCAGTATTATTAATCCCACACCCCAATCAAATATCCCAATCACTCTAATCAGTTTTATATATAACTTTTACTTTCAGATACAAAAGATTCTGTTTACTTAGGTGTGGCCAATTTTATCATGTTTTTTTGCAAGATGCTCAGCAGTTTGCTTGCTTCGTCTGTTTTCTTAATTGCTTAATCAGGCTCAGCTTTGGGTACCTAAAGAGTTTTATGGGCTTGCTGGTGGGAGCTGGCCATTACAGCTCCAGAATCCTGGTCATGTTTAACTGCCAGATAAGCAATCCATCAGCCATCTGACAGCTTGTTTACCTTTTCTTAGGGCCAAGGAGATAAGGTGAGCTGATTGTGCTGGGCAACGTGCCAACTAACTCTCGCAGATTGTCTCTGGGAGGGGGGGGGAGGCCAGCCGACGGCAGAATCGTCTCCATGCCAGGAATTCCTGCTGCATTAGCAGCACAAAGCAAACCTCAAATCCTCAGAACAAAATTTGATTTATTGAATCCAATACGAGCGGACCCTGTACATGTGAACTTTTAATTGCTTGTATTAATCATCTTCATTTTTTAGCTTCATTTTTTTTACAAGAACTCCTTCTGATATCTTACTTGCTAAAGAGATATTCAAAATGGTGCCGAGCAGCTTCATAACACTGTTCGAGCTTTGAATTTCTACAGAGTTTAAAACTTCAAAGGGAAGGAGTGATTTAATACTAAATTAATCAGTAACAGCTGCATAATCGCCCAGCACAGACTTATTAATTGCTTGAAGAAGATTAAAACTTGGAATGGC